ATATATATATATATATATATATATATATATATATATATATATATTTAGAGAATATTATATTATAGAACTCTCCTAATATTAGGATTCCAGTATGATTCGGTTACCTAGATTAGTTAGGATTTAGTTACCTAGTCAAACTCTATTACCTTGCAATATTTCTCTATATATATTCTATGTAATCAACCCATAACATAATGGGGGTTTCTATTATATTACGTAGTATTATTATTTATCTCTTTCTCCTATTCTATTCTTCCTATATGGTATCAGAGCACCAGGTTTTTTAACCTAGCCGTCTTTCTTCTCTATGGCGGTGACCACCCGTTTTTCTCCCTCCCCGGTGGTGGTACTCTTAATATCTTTCTTTTTGTATCTTTTCTATGAACACCACCCGAATTTTCTCCCTCCCCCGGTGGTGCTTCTCTATCTTTTTCTATCTTCTTCTTCTTCATCTTCTTCTCCATGGCCTAAAACCTAGCCGCCGCTTCTCTTCTTCTCAATGGCCGGCGACCACCAAACCGAATTTTCTCCCTCTCTCGGTGGTGTATCTTCTCTATCTTTTTCTTCTTCTTCTTCTTCTCCATGGCCTAAAACCTAGCCGCTGCCTCTCTTCTTCTCCATGGCCGGCGGCCCCTCTCATATCTTCTCCCTCTCTCTCTCGATTCATACAAAAAAAAAAAAAAAAAGTTCTTATTTTTCTCTCACCCGTTATTATTATTATTATTTTTTTTTTTAAATTTGGCAGATATTTCAACAGAGGAATTCTCTAGCGACCTGTTTCTGTCCAGTCTTCACGTTTGAAGTTTCCAGTCTTCACGTTTGAAGTTTACTCGTTTTGAAGTTTATTCGTTCCGACTGCGGGAGCGTGCTAGCAAGTGATTGTCCAGTCTTCACGTTCGTCACGTTTCGACTGCGGGGGCGTGTTAGAGAATATTATATTATAGAACTCTCCTAATATTAGGATTCCAGTATGATTCGGTTACCTAGATTAGTTAGGATTTAGTTACCTAGTCAAACTCTATTACCTTGCAATATTTCTCTATATATATTCTATGTAATCAACCCATAACATAATGGGGGTTTCTATTATATTACGTAGTATTATTATTTATCTCTTTCTCCTATTCTATTCTTCCTCTATATATATATATGCAACTGATAATTGCATAAAAAGCTTTTAGAATCTTATTTTTTTAACGAAAAAAAAATATTAGCTGAAAATGTAAATATTTTAAGAACTGCGATAGAAGGTATAAAGAAGAATTTATTTATTTGAAAATAAATTAGAAAATAAAATTGTAAAGAAGAATCTAGAATATAAAAAGATAAACTAAATATCGACTACATATATTAATTGCAAAAAAAGTATATTAACTGTAGGGAAAATTATCAAGAACCCCGTCATTTAGGAAATGTAGTTAAGGAAAATCTCCCTTCCAAAAATAATTAGAGAAAACCCCTTTTGTTGTTTGTTAGCTTGGATAATTAATAAAGGTAACTACCAATTATATCCTTACTCCTAGGGGTGGCAAACGAGCCGAGCCGGCTCGCGAACTCGACGAGCCAGCTCGAAAAAAGCTCGAACTCGAGCTCGGGTTTTTCGAGCTCGAGCTCGAGCCCAAAATTAGTTGTTCGGCAGCTCGCGAGCCGGCTCGCGAGCTGCCTTCTTTTTTTTTTTTTTTTTTTTTTTTTCTTTTTACATATATATATATATATATATATATATATATATATATATATATATATATTATTCTTATTCTTATTATTATTATTATTATTATTAACTAAATAGTAAATAGTCTATAATAATAAATATATCTAGTATTTAAATAGAAACAAATCTATATTGCTTAAATAATTCATAATAATATAAAATATAATAATAATAATAATAATAATAATAATAATAATAATAATAATAATAATAATAATAATAGAAAAAATAAAAAATATATATAACTAGAGTTCATTATTTATTTTATAATTTTTTTTTATTTTCCTATGAATAATTTTTTATAAAAAATAAAATTATTTTAATAAAAAAATAAAATAATAATAAAAAAATATTAAATAAGCTCGAGCTCGCCAAAATTGGCTCGAGCTCGAGCTCGAGCTCGGCAACATGGACTCGAGCTCGAGCTCGAGCTGGCCAAAAGAGCCGAGCTCGGCTCGTTCCCACCCCTACTTACTCCTAACCCTAAATTTTGGCATCTCCTCTTTTAACGTTATTTCTTCCTTTTATTTTTCTCGATCTACAGTCACTCTGCTCTCTTCTCTCCCTCCTCCGTCGTTTTTTTTTTTTTATTTTTTTTATTTTATCGATCTGCTTCTTTTCTCACTCTTATCTTCTTCTCGCTCTTCTCTCTCCCTCTTTACAAGATTAGATCGAAGGTTGAGATGTATAATGAGTTGACGGCTAGGGTTAACCCCAGTTTCTCGATTTTGCGAAGGTTCCTTCTTCGTCGCCGCAAGTTATGAATTTTTAATTTGATTTTGCTACCTCTTTTTGGATATGGCGGTGATCATGAAGAAAATTGGATTTGGGTGGCTTTTGTTTGGTGGTTTTGATGGTGGTGGTTTTGTTTAGGCTGGTGGTGCAGGTTCTAATTTACTTTATTTGTCATTAAAAACCGTCAAAATATGGTGTGGTGGTGATGGTGTGGTGTGGCGGCTACGTGGTGACGACGATGAGCAGATCTATGTTTTTTTGGTAGAATAGGCGGATGACGGCGCGGGTAGAGAAATTCGCGCAGGCTAAACCCTTAATCGATCATGTGTTTTTTCGGTAGTCGATTAAGTTAATCGACTATGCTCTGGTAGTCGATTAAAGTGTTAATCGACTGTTTTGGTAGTCGATTAAGGTTACTTGATTTTATTTTTTTAATTCATTTTTGGATTCCTATTTGTACAAATCAATTACAATTTGTGTATATTATTTGTTATGTAAAAATAGTTGTGTTTTTATTTTATTTTATTTTATGGTAGTCAGTTTCTTAATCGGCTATGCTTATATCGCATAGTCGATTAATACATCTGATAGAGAAAAAAAAAAGGTTAAAAAACGAAAAAAAAATTAAAAAAATTAAAAAAAAAATAAAAAAATTAAAAAATTAAAAAATTAAAAAAAATAAAATAAAGGCGATGAGGTGGTAGTACATAATTGGTGATAGTGTTGATGAGGTGGAAGGGTCATAATTGAAAAAAGGGATAATTAGCAAGACCCCCCTCATCTAGGTAAATGTGTTAAGAAAACACCCCCTCCTAAAAATAATTAGAGAAAACCCCCTTACCTAATATTCTACCATAATATTATTTAATAATTCCCAAAACAACCCCACAAATCATTTGCCAAATTAGCAGCCAAATACGGGCCGGTGATGTCACTAAAGCTAGGTACACTAACAACAGTAGTAATCTCTTCCCCCAAAGCTGCAAAAACAGTGCTTCAAACACACGACTTAATCTTCTCCAGCAGAACAATTCCCTGCGCCGCCGAAATCCTCAGCCACCACGAATTCTCCATTGCGTGGCTCCCCGCCGAGAATCGATGGCGGAAGCTCCGAAAATTATGCCAAGAGCAGATGTTTTCCGTCGCCAGGCTGGACGCCAGCCAGAATTTGAGGAGAGAGAAGCTGCGGAAGCTCCGCGGCTACGTCGGAGCCTGCTCTGAAACGGGCCGGGCCGTGGATATCGGCGACGCCGCATTCACGACGGCGTTGAATTTGATGTCGGCGACTCTTTTCTCGTTGGAGTTCGCGCCGGAGTTCGATTCCGATTCGTCGCAGGAGATGAAGGACGTTGTTTGGGGGGTGATGAAATGCGCCGGCAGCCCTAATTTTGCGGATTATTTCCCAATTCTGAAATCGGTCGATCCTCAGGGGATCCTCAAAGAAGCAAAGATTTATTTCCAGAAAATTAAATCGACTACGTGGTTTAATCGACTATGTTCAATAGTCGATTAAGGCTTAATCGACTATGTTCAGTAGTCGATTAAGGCTTAATCGACTATGTTCGGTAGTCGATTAAGATTAACCGACTCCAGTTGTTAATTTTTTTTAATTTTTTTTTTGATTTTTTGTTTATTGATTCCAATGTATAAATCAATTACAATGTTTGTATATTTTTTTTAAAATATAGTTGATTTTGCATTTTTTTTGTAATTATGATTTGTTATTTTTAATAGCTAAAATTTTAATCGACTATGCATTAATAAACCTGATAGAGAAAAAAATGAAAAAAAACCAAAAAAAATGAAAAAAAAAAAATTAGAAACAAAAAAAAAATTAAAAAATTAAAGATTTTCCTTAATCGACTATGAAGCATAGTCGATTTAAGACTAATCGACTATGCTTCATAGTCGATTAAAAAAACGGAAAAAAAAAAAAAAAAAAATCGCTGGAGCGCGTGCCCAGCTGTGATGAGGTGGCGGGCGGGGGTAAAACTGGGAAACACAATGGCTGAATTGGATCATGGGCTTTTCTCAAATGGTCTAAAATATTTTGGGCCTCCCTCAATTAAAAAAAGTAGTGAGGGGGTTTTCTCAAAGAGCCCCTTGAAAAAAATGGGTGGTTGAAATTAGGAATGAACTTTTATCAAATTGTGCAAAATAGTTTGAGATTCTCCCTATTAAAAGAAGTGTTGAGGGGGTTAGCCCGCATGGGTGTAGCTCAACTGGTTCCGAGATGGTAAGTTGATACAAGGTCCTAGGATCGAGAGATTTCGCCTTTTTTGTACAAGTATTAAAAGGGTTATATTATATCAAAGAGCCCCATAACTGTACTAGTGATAATATTTATCTAAAACATAAAAAATCTTAGAGCTATTATCAATATAATCAATTATTAAAAATACGTCCTAATAAAATACAATGACTAAATTATTATAAATTGAAAAACACGTCATAATAAAATAAAATAAGGGTCTTTATAAATAAGTCCATCAATAGGTACTCATTCATAAAAAGATCTAGACAATAAACTCCTTTACAAAAAGGTCCACATATTGTGTAAAAGATTAAAATAACCCATCATACTTTAATATGCTTCAATTTCATCATCTAATTTAATTTAACCTCAATTTGACCCCAAATTTCACAAATTATTCAATTTTGACCAAAAACACATTTTTATGGACAATTTCGTTCGTCACCGCCGTTGACCGCCGCTCTCCGGCGTTGATTTTTGTTTTCCTGATTTTTCCGCCGATTTCCGGCGTTGACAAGCGGTCAACGCAGGTCTTCGGCGTTGACTTTTTTTTTCTTCCTGATTTTTCCGCCACCGGTTTCTGGCGTTGACTTTTTCGTTTTTTTTTCTTTCTTTCTGTAACATCTATTTTTTTCGTTTAAACAACAATATTGCTGTGATTGACAGTAATATTAACTATTACTGTTAAACACAGTAAAATTAACTATACTACAGTTTAATACAGTAATATTGCTATATTAATCTCTAGCACAGTAATATTAACACTACAAAAACTCATTATTATTGTGTAATAGAGTAATATTACTATGTTGACCGTTCAACAAATGTAAACATAATAAAAAGCCAAGAGATTTAATATTACTGTGAGTGACAGTAATATTACTATATCAACAGTAATATTACAATAATAGACAGTAATATTATTACGTTACTCCGTGAATAACTCAAACACACAAAAAAATCAAATAAAATAAAAATATTGATGTGGTTGACAGTAATATTATTGTGTTTACAATTATTTTACTGTCAACAACAGTAATATAATTACGTTGACTTGTCAACAAACCAAACAAAATTAAAAAAAATAATAATAAAAAATAAAAAATAATAATATTACGTTAATTGACTGTCAACGGCAGAACAATTACATAAATGTATTGTCAACGGCAGTACAATTACGTTATGTACTGTCATTGACAGTATAATTACGTTAATTTACTGTCAGTGACAGCACAACTACGGTCAACGTTTAGCGGCGGACAAAAAAAAAAGTCAACGGATTCCGAAAAAAGAAAAAATCATGTTTATGTGTCATATTCACAGACTTCCTCAAAAAAAAAAAAAATCCGTGTTAGTCAACACGAAATTGATAATACCAATTCCATGTAAAGCTACACGGAATATGCAAAGTTTGTTTTTTTTTTCTTCGATAAGTTTATAATTCAAGAATCGTGAAAATATAAAGTTTACCTTAGATCAGTCGTCGTACGGATCTCAAATTGGCGTCGTGAGATTTTTGGGTTGAATGTTAGGTTTTCAAATATGAAAAGTTCACAAATATTGAACTTATTTTGTGACATCAATTTTCACTCTCTCTATAAATATAATTTCAGTTAATATATTTTGAGCTCGTCAAAATAAATTCGAGGTCGAGCTCGCCAAAACAGCTAAACTCGTCTCGAGTTTGACTCGTTTACACCCTTAATTACGACCTTATAAATATAGCTTTATAATCCATTTACTCATAATACCAAAAGATGAATGTAAGTTGTACAGTTTCGTAAACACTTTCAGTTACACACAATTAATTGTTATGACACGTTAGGTTACTGCTATAAGGTCCTACAGATCAAATAGTAGGGGCTAATAACATTTTCAGTTTGCAAGATTCACATTTTATCAAATCAGTACTAAAATCAAAGTTCGCTATTAAATCCTACTATTTAATTAATTAATACTACACATTAACTTAATTTAATAGGGGTAACTAAACAAGTAAAATGTTATTTTATCACTCAAACTACATGTTAATTTTATTAAATAAAAAGTTTTATAGGCAAATCACATTAAATATCATAATTTAACAGGTTTACAAGATTTAATCCACTGAACCTAACGTCTTACTATCTAAATAATTAATTAGTTAGTAAAGAATTAACCCAATCTCATTTAGTCCAAACTAATAGAGGTAACCATACGAGCCCTTAATCTACAATTGGTTTTTAAAAGACGTTTATTAGTTCATAATACCAAAGAGCACTCACCCTCCCGTGGTTTGAACTATGCGCATATGAACCCCTTGTACTTTCAATATATCACATGATCCCCTTGCATTATTATATAAGCACATAACTCCCTTGTACTTTCGAAAAAGTCCTCTTCCTAATGAGCATGATTATTACCAAGTGGAATACCATAAGTGAGATTATGTGTTACATTAAAAGTACAAAGGGATGATGTGCATAAAATTCAGACCACTGAGAGTCATGTGCTTATATTGAAAGTACAAAGAAATCACGTGGACAAAGCTCAAACCAAAAGGGATTAAATACTATTTACCGTTCATAAATTTTACCTAATTCTTCTTCGAATCCACTAATCTAAAAGGGCATTTTTTGAACTCGCATAAAACTAAGAATCGAAGAAAATGATATAAATAATAGATTAGTGGATATATATAATATATGATAAATTGTAAATAAAAATAATATTGAATGTTATCAGTCAAGCGTACCTAATGACAACTTGAGCACTGAGATGGGATTTTCATGTTTAGAGCAGCCAGTGCCATTTTTGGTGCCATCACCCGTGAAGCCATGAAGACACGAACAATTATAGCTACCAGGAGAATTAGTGCATAATGCAGTTGGTACACACGGACTATTCTCACATTCATTCGTGTCTGATATTCAGAGATCACAATATATAGTCAGCGTACCAAAACAAATAAAATTATTTCTAACTAGTTTAATATCGCAATGTGTAAAAGTCAAAAGAAAAAGTAACCTGTGCAGCCTGGTTCGAGATATGGATTGCCCTCGTATCCCTGAAAGCATATGCAATTATATCCATTACCACTGGTGTTCAAGTCAATGCAGGTACTGTTCTTGTGACATGCGTAATCATTGGATTTCTGAGCTTCACTGCAAGTTGTGTTCCCAATCACCCAATCCAGGACCATTGGGACATTTTGAACGATTCGTTCTTGAAAAGTGACGTCATCGAGGTCAGAGGATTGAAATGTGTATGTATCCTGGTCTCCAAGAAAGGCATAACCACAAGTGCTAAAGGACCGCACATAAATGTGATTATTAAGGCTGCTTAGAGAGAGATCAAATTTCGTTAGGCCCTTTGGTATTGATGTTTGGCAACAACCTATACCAGTGCAATAACCATCAAGAACTTCGTCTCTTGAAGAACAAGTGGAAACACACGCGTTGGTCAAATTACCACCCTCAACCCCGGATAGCATGCCAATTTCATCGCATCCGACCATTGTGAACTTATTTGCATCAGAAAAGCTAAAAGGTGGATCTAAGTGGATTTTGCTGACTGCGTCTATATTCCTGGTGATGTTGCCTAGTTTGTTGTAACAAATGGCAGCCATCCTGTTCTTGATCCTCATTCGTGAATCTGTTATATCAAAAACTTCAAGATTCGTGGATCCAATGAAGGGCTTCGGAGGGTTGAAAGAAGTATCGCAACGGATGTCATACGATGGGTGTATAGAACATTCCGAGCCTATGCCAAATGGATATGGAACATTTATATTCCCACACTTGCTTTCGCAGCCGGGCTTCGCTGTGTTGACGCCTTTTGCGATAGTCGATGGAGGTCTCGTGGCGCTGGTTCCATTGGAAACTGCCAACACAGATTGGATCGATACGAAATGGAAGAGAAGAGAGGAGAGAAGAATGTTTGTTAGCATTGTTGCTGATATATTTTTGAGCTAGAGCTAATATGCATTAGTCAAGAGTTTGTGTACAACTATTGGTTGATACACTGAACATATATACAAAATATATATATCTGGCAAGTATGTATATAATGTAATATAATACCAGAGGATAATACTGTACATCAAAATAAATGATAGCCCTCCTCACGTTCTGCAAAATTGTCAACTATCTTATAATATTTTTCTTCTCTAAATAGTCAAAAGGAATTCTTTTAAACTAATTATATATCCTTGCGCGATTGAGATCGAACATGCAAAAAGTTGAAAGAAAAATAATAAAATGTTTTATGATATAATTAACTGACTTTATCTCCGTTATTAGTGAACAACCTGCTGTATACTATGGTAGATTTGGATGACGTCATGTATGAGCTCATCTTCTCGGGTTGTTGGGCTCTTTCTCATGGTGTACTCTGCTGCACTTCTCCACATTATTTTTTTTTCTTTTTTTTCCAATTCTCATTTCATATATAATTTTGGGTAAAATTCATTTTGCAGCCTGTACTATGTGAAATATACCATTTAGTCCCTGATGTATAGAAAACATCAAACATTCCCCTGCTCTTGCCTCTTAGCATTTTTCTTGATTATGCTAGTCAAACCCTTTGACCCATTATTGCAAAGGGTTGTTGTCTTTTTTCTTTTGAGGAGAATATCCAAAAAAAATCTATATATATATAAGTTGCTTAATTTTTGCCATTTTTCACCAGATTTTCACTCTTTTCGGTCCTTTTTTATTTTCACTTTATTAAGTCATTTTTTCACTCATTTCAGCCCTTTTTCTTCTATTTTGCATAAAAAAACTAAAAAATCAAATCAATACAAATGAAGCTTTTTAAATTATGGATGTAAAACCCACAAAAAAAAGACTTAAAACCCTTAAAATCTAGAAGAAACCCTACAACTTAAAACCCCTAAAATAAATACACTAAAATCGATAAAAACCCTAATTTCAACGAATGCTAAAAATTGTCAATATCCGAAACAAATACACCTCATTTTTACTTAAAAAATCGTCTTTTTAACCTTCTAACTTCAATGGAATAAAGAACCCGTAAAAAATTCAGTGTACCCAAAATTTCATCCCGTAATTGAGGAAAAAAACCCTAAAATCAAAATTCGTACCCTCAAACAAAAAGTTCATCCTGCTAATGTGCACATATAAGAGTTATTCAACATATTTCACGAAAACTTTGAGAAGGATAAATTTTTTGTAATATTTTGTTTCTTTTAAAAAATCGAAGGTTTAGAGAGTGAACAACATAGAAAAAATTAGGGATTCATTTCGGCATAAAGTGGGGGTAAAATAGTCTTTCATACTCAAATTCAACATCCTTAAAAGTTTGATCATTAACCGTCAAAAGTAAAAGGGCGTTTGATGTTTTCTATTCTCCATAGATACATTTTGTATAATACAAAAATAAATTTTACCTTATAATAGGGATAATTACATTTTTGGCCAATATTATACACCTTTTTTTTTATTATTATTATTTTGGCCCTTTAATTTTTTCTGGCACGAAATTGGTCCTCAAATAACTATTTTTTTTTACAATTTTCGTCCACCATTTTGAAATTGTTGTTAGCTTTGACGGAAAAGTCACGTGCGAGGCATGTAATCATGCACTTCTACCCCTGTTTTACCTCTATTTTTTATTTGGCCTCAGTTTAACTTTATTATTATAACTTCGTCCAAAAAAATCAAATCTCCAAAAAAATTGTTCCAAATGCCCCAACCCCGCCCCGTCTGCCATTTTCACCTCTGCCGCGCCGAGCCATCTAACTGTACATCTGTGTCACTTTTTTTTTTTTTTTTAATTTTAATGATTTTTTAGCTGATTTTTTTCTTGCATTTTTATTAAAATTGAAATACTATTAAAACTTTATTAATGAATAATAATAAAATACAATAAAATTTACAAGATTAGGCAAAACGGATTTTATTGTATAAACAACTAAAAACAATATTTCTAAAATTACAATATATGTTTAATTATTTTTACATATTAATAATTCCAACTAATAAAATAAATTATATTTATAAAATAAAAAAAAAACTCTTTAATAAATCTTGGTATAATCAAATTAGTTATAGCATTTTCGATTAAAAAAAATAAAATAAAGAAATAAATAATATTTGTGAATAAAATATAATATACTAATTCCTAGAAACCCTCCTATGATATTTTTTGTCATTTCACATTTTTAGTACATTTCTCGAATTTAACTTTATTTGGACGAAATTGTAAGAATAAAGTGATATTGAGTTAAATTAACAATATAGGTAAAAGATGAGGGTGTTAATGTGCATTGTCACATGCCTCACACGTGACTTTTTTGTCCAAACTGACGACAATTTCAAACGGTGGACGAAAATTGTAAAAAAACTGGTTATTTAAGGACCAATTTCGTGCCAGAAAAAGTTTGAGGACCAAAATAAAAAAATGGTATATATATAGTATAGGGACCAAAACTATAATTATCTCCATATAATGTTTTATTGATACTGAAGTCTGAAATTGTTATAAAAGAGTGCTGCTTTATTTGTGTAGTTGTCATATACTTTGGTTTGTTGTTATTCGGTCTTAAATAAGGGATGACTGGTAGTGAATATAATTGTATTTTTCTGAGCTGTAGGTTTCTTAAATTATTTAACCTAAGTACCTATTTATTATATGTTGTTTTCTGATGTCACCTTGCACCATTTTCAATTATCTAGCCACGGTGACATGTTAAGTACTAGTCAAAAACAATTCGGGACTCTGCTCCGAACTACATAAACTTTTGATTTACCATTACTTTGATACATTAAACCTTAATAATACCACCACCACTTTGATACATTAATTCATTAGTAACCACTAATTAATTAAGATCTCTAATGGAAAAAATTTCGAGTGACGAATATTCTGTCGGTATCAGAACCGTCGTTGTTACCATCATCGGCGGGAGGAGGAGTTTGAACAGTCGCCGGAGGGCACCTTTTGCCTTTAGTTCTTTTGGTAGAGCAAATGCACCAACAACTAAATTTTAATCCCTCGGGATTAAATTCAAGCTTTTTCTTCTTCAAACATACTACGTTGGCATTTCCGCCAAATGTCTTTTTGCAAGCATTTGTGCAAGAACCCAAATTTTTCATATCTTTGCTGCCCAATTTAACCATCGGGCAATAAGGGTTAGGTGCCGCCGCCGCCTTGCTTGCCCCTGCGCCGCCACAAATAATTCAATTAATTAAAACCAATTAAAAATTTTAGCAACATAATTTTGATTTGAAATAAAACTGCAAAAATTAGAAATGTGTACATACTAAGTTAATGGCAAGCAAAGTAACAGAGAAGTATACAGTAAAAGATTTTGACATCATTTTTTAAGCTGCAATAAAAATATATCAACGATGATTTAATTATTTTGTTACAAATGGTTCACAATATATAGCCCTTCAAATAGTGAGAAAAAAGCCCATTAGGATAATCTTCTCTTAAATGGACATTTATCTAATTCAAACACCAAGTTAGTTCGTCTTAATCCCACTCAAAAAAAGAAAAAAGTTCTAACTTTTTGTCATTAATTACTTGCAAAATCTATTGATATATCCCTTGGTTTCAAATTATTTTTTACTTTTTCTCTTCATTTACTAAGGTCTGGTTTGGTTTGGTTAAGGAGATTAGTTATGATTAACTAAATTATTGAACTTTGTTTGATGTTTGATATCCTCAATAACTTTTTGGGTCGAATAACGAAAGCAATTACTCTTTTGCTAAGTAAAATCATGAAATCCATACAATCGACAATATGTATTGTAATCTCAATTTTCCAATTTGAGTTTTACTCACATCTCGAATAAATTCAAGAACATATTCGAAGAAATTCTGACCCTCAGTCGGAATGGTTTGTGGGTTCCGAACAGCTATAGTAGCTGAACCTAATAAGATAGCAATTACAACCCAAGAAGTAATAAGTACTTGGCCATGAACTTGGAAACCCCCTATTTGCCAATAGAAATGTCCAGGACAGCATTGAGATTGAATAATACTAATAAACTCTTGAGCCATATATATTACATATATATTATATATATATATATATATATATATATATATATATATATATATATATATATATATATATACCAATAATTGTCTGAACCACATATACTTTTGATTTATCAGATAATTCTAACTTCGTCAATATTTTAATCATACCATCTTCAAAATTCTCAACTTCTAATCAACGATATTTGATTCGCTCGTTCTTGTTAGAGCGAATTAATGTGTACATTATACTATAGGTAGGGGTGGAAATTGGACGAAATGGACCGGAATGACTTTTTCGGAAAATTCCCATTTTTTTTCGGAAGTAGAATTGGGTTCCAATTTCCGTTCCAAAAAAATCGGAATGCAAAAATTCATTCTGATATTGGAATGCCTCAAAATTGACGGAATTTCGGAACTTTCGAAAATTACATTTAGTTTATAATCTCTTGTTCGAAATTCGAATATAATGGAAAAAAATTCACAATATTTTTCTATATTTTTTAATTTTGGCAGAAAAATGCAAGAAACATCAAAAAGAGAGTTCGGCAAAACGAAATAAATAAAAACACATGTATGAATAACAAATTGAAATGTAGATTTTTTTATAGGGGTTTTTATATATAAGACCCTGACCAACCATCTTTATTATTCTAGGTTCATGGGATATATCTCTTTTGCCAATAAGTCCATCATTTTAACATATATTATAAAAAAATGTAAAATTAATGTATGTGATGAAATTACCCCTAACCCTTTAACCTCAATTCCTAATTGTAACCCCAATTTAACTTCAATTTCATCAATTTTGACTTTTTTTTACCGCTGGTTTCCGGGGTTGACTTTTTTTTTTTTTTTTCTGCTTGCTTTTTCCTCTGCCGGTTTCCGACGTTGACTTTTTTGATTTTTTTTCTCTGTCTGGTTTTTCCGCCGTCGGTTTCCAACTTTGACCGTCGGTCTCCGACATTGACTTTTTTGAACTTTTTTTTCCCTAAATTTTTTATCCGTTTTTTTACGCTCGCCGTTGAACGTTGACCGTAATTGTACTGTTATTAACAGATAATTTTACCGTCATTTACAGTACATTTACATAATTGTACTATCGTTGACAGTATATATTTACGTAATTGTACAGTTGTTGACAGTATTACTGTCAACCACATCAATATTATTATTTTTTTGGTTTTTTTTTTTTATTTATTTTGTTTGATTTGTCAACGTAATAAAATTATTGTAAACACAATAATATTACTATCAACCACATCAATATTTTTTTTATCCTTTTTGTTTTGTTTGATTCGTTGACCGATTAGTGTAATAATATTACTGACTACTATTGCAATAATACTGTAAAAACACAATAATATTACTGTGGTTGACGGTAATATTACTGTTGTGATAGGAATAGTTTTTTTTTTTCTCTCTTTGCATTGTCCTCCTATAATAAATTGATCTAATAAGTAGGATAAAGAAGTTACGAATTGTGACTTGGAACTAGAGGTGAATCGACCACCCTTAGGAAGTGATGGACTCAAGTCATCCATAATTATACAAATCTCCATTTTAGCACGCCTTTATATTATTAAGTCCACCAATTATTTTTTATTATTTAGTGCATCTAAAATCCAAATAAATGTAAAAAAAAAGTACTAAGTTTTTCTTTTGGTTATGTAAAAGAATCTGATTTTTTTTTAGAGCCGCTGCCCCGAACCCCCAAAATATTAAGTCGACCATGTAGGAATATCTTAGATTCACGAGTGTTAGAACAATAATTTTTTTACGATATTTTTTAATACATATTCGGCCCCCCATTGATGAATTCATGGCTTCGCCACTGGTACTTTAATATTGTTAATATTACAATGTTAAACAGTAATATAGGTAATATGACTGTCAACCACAACAATTTTACTGTTTAAACGGGCCAAAAAATGTTGAAGAAAAAAAAAGTTTTTAAAAAAAATTGTTAAAGGACGAAAAGTTTCCAAAAAGTTTTCAAAACATGTTGAAGAGAACTGTTAAATGGACGAAATTGTACTCAAAATTGGATTTAGGGTCAAAACTGAATAATTAGTGAAATTTAGGGTCAAATTGATGTTAAATTGAATTAAATGATGAAATTGGACCATATAAAAATTTGAGGGGGTATTTTAGTCTTTTGCACACTTCTAGACAGTGTCCTGACTTTTTTGTAAAATAGTTGTTTGTCTGGACGTCTTTATGAATAAGTAGCCCATGATGTGCTTATTTGTAAATAAATCATTTCTTATAAGGAAAAATGCAACATAAAGTTTATGATATCAATTAATTTTTTCTAAGGTTTTAATTTACTTGAACCTTCTATATTTATATTTTTCATATAAAGTATACCATAAGTTATATTATGAAATTACAAAATATAATCATAAATTTATATTATATATTTTGAAAAATCATAGATATATTTGGAACTAAAATCGGATCGAAAATCGGAGCTTCTGATAAGTTTGTATACCATTCCAATTTCGTTCCAAATAAGTTCAGAAAAATTGGAAACTTAAACTTCGAAAATTGGAATGATAAATACAGTTTCAAATTCGGATATTTTCAAATCGGAATTGACGGTGTTTGAAATTTTATTCCAATTTCCACCCAAACAATATGGTCCTATTTTTACAAATTTTCAAAACTCTGCTTAAAACCGCCAATTTCTCACGAATGGGCGTGTGCTATATCTAAAAGCCCCTTATTATAATTTTGATATGCGATGATTGTTATTTTACTAGTTTATACATCAATTAAATCATACAATAAATATATTGAATCACTTGTGATTTTGAACTCTAATTACTACAATTTTATTTTATAAGAAATTAAAAATGTACTTTTTTTTAAGAGGGTGTTTGGCTAAGCTTATAAGATGTTTTAGAGCTTAAAATCTCTTCCAAAGTGTTTGGTAAATTTAAAAAAAAAAGATCTTAATTTTTTTTAAATAAGTTATTGGAGAGCAAATAAGATCTTTTTAAAAAAGTACCTCTACCCACCTTTTTTATTTAAGATCTTATAATGAGTAAAAATAGGAAATAAACTCATTACCCAAACACTTTAAAAATTAATCCTAAAAATAAGATGTAATAACTTATCAGCTCTTAAAACATCTTATCAGACATAAGAGCTTATTAACTATTTAAAATAAGTTTAGCCAAACACCCTCTAAATCTAACTATACTTCATTTTAACATCTGAAATTTCAATTAGAAGGAAGCACGTAAATGACGTGTTGGAAAATAATTCATTCTTTGGTTGACAATGAAATTACGTGCCACGTCGAACTCATTTTTGAAAGTTGACAAGTTTCTTAGAACTTCTTTCTTCATGAAAAGACCCTAAAAAAAATAATAGAATGTTGCAAGTTGTGAGTGCAAATTCAGAAAAGTATTTGATTTACCATGTATATATACTATATAGGGGTGGACCGGTGGTGCTTTATGAATCCCTTGCCCTACCGAATCCTACTGAGTACCGAGTCTCTACCACAATAATTTTACCGAATAATTACCGTACCATACTGTACCGTATCGAAATATTTTGGTAGGATAATGTCACTCAATATTATTAAAAGGGTATCACCCTACCATATGATTATTAATAAATAAAAATAATAAAAATTTTATTTTAATAATTTATTTATTTTATATAAATATAAATAAATAAATTAAGTTCAAAAAATTGTCGCATTAATACTTTTCAAATTATGACTTAAAAACAATATATTTTAGAAGAAGAAAAAACAAAGAGGAAAAAAAATAATAGTAATAAAAAAAACAATTACATACACTAAAAATGATTATTGGCCAAAAAAGTTGAACTTTTTTAGCAACCACCTACATGTTGACTTGGACTAATGGATTTGTATTAGGGGTGGTAAACGAGTCGAGCCGACTTGTGAGCTCGATGAGCCGGCTCGAAAAAAGCTCAAACTTGAACTCGAGCTTTCTTACGAGCCGAGCTCGAGCCAATTTTTAGTTGTTCGTGAGCTCACGAGCCGGCTCACGAGTCTTATTTTTCATTTTTTAATTATTTTTTATTATTTTTTATAAATTATTTTTTATTTAAATAATGTATAATAATATAAAATATTATAGAAATAAATAAAAATAAAATATAAAAATTAAAAAAAATATATATAATTACAATTTATTGTTTATTTTGTAATTTTTAAAAAATAATTTTTAATAATAATAAAGTTATAATTAAAAAATATTAAAAAAAAAAATGAGCCTGGACTCGAGCTCGACAAAATTGACACGAGCTCGAGCTCGAGCCAAAAAAGAAGGAACTCGTCGAGCTCGAACTCGACAAATAGACTCGAGCTCGAGCTCGAGCCTTCTAAAAGAGGCGAGCTCGGCTCGTTCACACCGCTAGTTTGTATCCAAATTACTTCTACAACGATGAAAATATTGCATTTGAATAGGGGGTTTAAAAATTTCAATCTAATAGTAACAAATCATTTGAGGTACTTGTTTGAATAAATTTATTTTATAATCTATAATATTTAAATCCTAGCGACCGGTGAGAGAATTCGAACTTTGAGTCAATTGATGCAAATTCACTTGCTCCAACCGCTAGATCATTCCGTACGGGACCAAAAATAATTTTATTTTCAATTTTATTTATAAGATAAAATATGAGTTATGCCTTATCTATTTTATCTCTCTCTGGCCCGGTCTAAAAGTTATTGCATCTAATGCACAATAATTTGAATGGTTAACAAAATTAGCCGTCATTAACAAAAATAATAGAACTTTGTATATTTGGGAAACCTAGTAATTTTCGAATTGACCCATGATGCAGAAATACAATTATTTTTTTATCAAATTATTTCATTTTTGTCTTAACTAATTAATCTTTTCCTAGTAAAATAAATAAATAAAAAGAAGAAGAAATGTTCTTTACTTTTCTGTGTAAAATAATAAATATCTTTACAGTTCTAATACCAAAGAGAGAAAAAAAATGATATAAATTATGTATATGAAGAAAAAAAAAAAAGGAATTAATTAAAAATCATAATCCAAAGGAAAATAAGCTACCCACGATAACCATTGTGGCACTCCACTTCATAAGTCCTTTTCTTCTTTCCAAATCCATTCCCCGACCCGACGAATACTCGGATTCTAACCGGGCGTCATATTTATAATTCGGGTTTGACCCGTATAACGCTTGGATCCCTTCCACGTCATCCATCCGGAGCTTCACTTTCTTCGTCCTCGGACTCAAGCTCGGGTACATAATCGCCTCCTTCGCCGACGAGTGCGCCAGGCCCAGCACGTGCCCAATCTCGTGCGTCGCCACCGATTCCAAATCCACCGCCGCCTTCGACTTCTCCGCCGCGAAGTCCACCGCCCACCTCTCCGCCGCGTCCAGGTGGAACCTCCCGTTCTCCGGCGAGAAGGCGTGCGCCAGCACCCCCAGAACCCCGTCGAACGCCTCCCCGTCTCCGTGGTCCCCGTCGAACCACCCGATCCTTATGTCCGCCGTCGAGTAGTCCGCCGTCTCCGTGAAGTTCACTGGAATCACCGCCGACCACCGCGAGAACGCCCCGACGAACGCCGCCCTCACGTCCGACGGACTCAGGTAGTCCACCGCGCCCGCCGGCGAGAACGCGTAGGTCAGCGTCATCGGTGGCGGACGCACCCACCGCGGCTCCCCGTAGAAGTACGCGTACCGCCGATTCGCCTTCACCCCGCGGCCGCCGCCGCCGCCGGTGGCGGCGGCGGCGGAATCGCTGACGCCGCACCGGGGCGAGACGATGACCGTCATGGTGTCTAAGTCGAGCTTCCCGGTGACGGACAATCCAAGATTCCTCTGGTACGTAACGAGAGCAGATTCGAATTCGTCGTCGAAGAAATCCGTAAAGGAAATATTCTCTGGAGGTGTTGGCAGGTAGCCGAAGCGGCCGAAGTAGCGCTTCAGCTCCGCCAACCCGTCCATCTGGCTGCCCTTCCCGGCGTCCAGGAAGCGCATGAGGCCGCGCCACGTGTTGTTCGGGACAACATCGGGATCATCGGAGAAACCGGTGGCGGGAAAAACAGGCGGGAGAAAAACAAGGAAGAAGAACAAGAACAAAAAGAAGAGAGAGAAAGATGTACGATGATGAATATAACTGAAAAACAGAAACATAATTGATTTGGTTGGTTGGTCTCTTCTATTTGTTCCTTGGGATTCGGAGCGTTTTGGGAAGTTTGTCTGAAAAATCAACTTCCTTTATTAATGAGGTTTTTATGTAAATACTACTAACAAAATTAAAATTATTATGGTTAAAAAGAAGTTGGGATTGTTATTATGCAATAATAATTAATTAAACACAAACAAGTGTATTAATCTATGTCTTTATCAATGATTTTTAATTAGGAATTAATGATTTTGTTTTTAGTTGGGCAAATTAATTAGGTAACCTAGATAAGATGGATGAACAAGAAACCCAATTAAAAAAAGTTAGAAAGATTCTTGTATTTAAAAGGAGGGAGACTTTGTAGTTTTTGAAAGGTGTTTTTATGGTTGTTGAGCCACTTACTAAAATCTTTTTTTTTTATTTGTTTTCTTGTATACATGTTATATCCTATTCCTATGTATGTATATTTTGTGCAATTGTATTTATTTGTTTTAAATATTTTTTCACGCAATTTTGTTTTGTTTTTTAGTGTCTATACATCTTATATTTTTTATTTATTTAATATTTCATCTCGTATTTGATTTTGTATGTGTCAAGTGTAAATTATTTATCCTAATATTATATATAAATAGAAATAAAGTACCAAATTAAAATAGGGAATTGGAATCATATATAATATTTACATTATATATTAATCATGTACAAGCAACATGAATTTTTTGACATTGAATGTAATATTCAACATAAAATTGGTATAAAGAATTTAAAATGATATGTGTGGCCGGTGGGGAAGCTAAGCCAATGTAGGGTCGGGTGGCTATTGCCTCCCCTCAATTTTCTCTTTTTACTATTATATATGTATGTATAATTGATGGTCTTTTTATTGTGATTCTATAATGTTTAATAATTTTGGTTTTATATAAAAAATAAAATTCAATATTTTTAAGGGGTAATATGCCATGAGCCCCTCAAACTAAACATAATTTGAACTAAATCACAATTTCAAATCCAATTTTTTAATTAAATTCTTAGTTTGAAATAATATATGAGTCACATCCTTATTTTTTGTTATCCATATCTTACCCTTATACCCTAAATCATAACCCCTATACATTCACGTTTCTTCAATTTAGATTTATTCCTTTCGTTTTCTCTCTCTCTCTCTCACGTTCTCTCTCACCGTTCTATCTCTCACGTTTGCTCCTCTCTCTCTCTCTCTCTCTCTCAAATAGCAACATGGCGGCGACAGAGGGAGCAGAAGCAGGGGCCGCGGAGGGCGTCGCGGTGGAGGCGGCGGCGGCGGCGGCAACATGAGGCGTGGTGGCGGCGGCGGCGGGTGGAGGCGCGGTGGAGGAGGCGACGACATGGGGTTGTGTGGTGGGGGCCGAGGTTATGGTTATTTTGACTAATCGCATCTAATTTTCTTATATTTTAAGAGATATTGCTTGATTTGGGTTCATATGGCGGATCTAGGTTTTTTCAAAGTCGGTAGGTGGATACAGTCGCGGTGACTTCGAGCGGTAACTGCTAGGGTTCGTGGCGGCTGAAAATTGTTGGCGGCTAGGGTTTGGTTGTAAAGCATAGTACATTGTAGTATACTATAGTACACCGTAGTATACTATAGTATAGTACACCCAAGTATACTATAGTACAGAATAGTATATTGTAGTCTACTACAGACAAATTGAAAAATATGTAAATTGAAAAAAAAATAGAATGCTTTTTTTTTTTTCTTTTTGTAATTTTCAATATCATGTAGAAAAAAAGAAAAGAAAAAAATAAGTTTTTATAATAATGTATAAAAAGATAAAATGAAGAAAGAAAAAAAAAAGATAAACGGATATTCTGTAAAGAAAAATGTTCATATGGAAATTTGAAATATTAAATGCATAATAAATAAAATGATAAAATACAATTTGGAATTTACGTAATGCATATTTCGAATTTATGAGTGGAGGGGCATTTTTGGAATGAATTTTATAGAGGACGTGAGGCAAAAGTTTAGTTGGACTTGTCATTTAGTTCTAATAAGTTTTGTCACTATAGACCTATATCCTAAGGTCCCTATTTTTAATTGGAAAAAACAAGGAAATAATAATGAGTCTAACACATAAAATAAGGAAGTTACAGATTATGACTTGAACCGGAGGCGAGTTCATACTTGGGCAAGGATGGACTCAAGTCGACCCTCCAAGATAAGATTAAATAATTTAATGAAACTCAATTATTTTATTGGAGCTTGCAACGTCCAACCAAAAAAATTCATTAGAAGGCAAGATAAGCCATGATTATCTAATTTTTGCGGGTCGACCAGGCAAGTTATTCCCGATACCAAACATCCAACAAAGTCCAACTATTTAATCAATCATGTCTACTCCCTCAACCAAGCGGGAACGGCCTCACTAGCTTACATAATGTAAGATCCACCCACAGTCTTTTTATATTTTTAGTAAACACATTAGTTGTAAGTTTCATTTGATATAAACACAAATAATTAACTTACATCAATTCAACACTAATTAGAGTTTGTTTTATCTTATTTTATTTTGATTGTTATTATTTTTATTTATTTATTTACTTAAAAAATTAATGTAAGATAAAAAAAAATAATTATTATTATTATTTTTATACGGTGGTGGCCTTGTGGCCTTGGTGGTCGGAGCCCCGGTTAACTGACTTATCATTAGTTCACTTCATCATTAGTTAACATTTCATTTTTTTTTTATTTTAGATTTGTTTTCGGCGGCGGGTCGTCGGAGCTCTCGTTATCTGACTCAACATTAGTTAACTTCAACACTAGTTCACATTCAATTTTTTTTTATACTTTTTCCTTTCTTTTGTTTTTTTTTATCTTCCGACGGCGAGTCGTCGAAGCTCCGGTTAGGTTGACTCAACATTAGTTACCTTTAACATTAGTTAACATTTGACATTCCATTTTTTTTGTTTTTCTTTTTTTCCGGTGGTGGGTCGTCGGAACTCCGGTTAGCTGACTCAACATTAGTTAACTTTGACATAGGTAAACATCTTTGCATTAACTAACATCAGACCATTTTTTCCCCTTTACTCTTTTTTTCGACGGTGGGTATTTAGGGTTTCGTGTAGCTGATCAAGCATTAGCTGACGTACACCTGACCATTTTAGTGTTGAAGTCCGCTAATGGTAGCTCCAACGATCTGGCATTGTAGGAAAAAAGTGTTTACTGTCAACTAATTTTGAAGTTAACTAATGTTTAAGTTAACTAATGTTCAGTAAGCTAATTAACCGGATTAGAAATCAGACGAGTAGTGAGTGCAAATTCAGAAAAATTATTTGATTTACCATCTACATATACTATATAGAGGTGCTGCCTTACCAATCCGTTACCCTATCGAATCCTACTGAGTACCGAGTCTCTACCAAAATAATTCTACTGAATAATTATCATACAATACTGTACTGTATCGAAATATTTTGTACTGTATCGAAATATTTTGGTAGGGCAACGATACTCAATATAATTAAAAATGTATTACCCTACCGTATGAAATATTATTAATAAATAAAAATAATTTAAAATTTATTTAATAATTAATTTATTTTATATAACTATAAATAAATAAATTAAGTTCAAAAAATTGTTGCAGTAATATTTTTCAAATTATGACTTAAAAACAATATATTTTAGGAGAAGCAAAAAACAAAAAGAAAAAAAAAATAATAGTAATAAACAAACAATTACATACACTAAAAATGATTATTGGCCAAAAAAGTTGAACTTTTTTAGCAACCACCTACATGTTGGCTTGGACTAATGGACTTGTATTAGGGGTGGTAAACGAGCCGAGCCGACTCGTGAGCTCGATGAGCCGGCTCGAAAAAAGCTCAAACATGAATTCAAGTTTTTCGAGCTCGAGCTTTCTTACGAGTCGAGTTCGAGCCAATTTTTAGTTGTTCGTGAGCTCACGAGCTGGCTCGCGAGTCTTATTTTTCATTTTTTTTTATTATTTTTTATTTTTTTATATATTATTTTGTATTTAAATAATGTATAATAATATAAAATATTATAGAAATAAATAAAAATAAAATAAAAATATTAAAAAATATATATAATTACAATATATTGTTTATTTTGTATTTTTAATTTTTAATAATAATAAAAAAATAATTAAAAAATATTAAAAAAAATAAAAAAACAAAATGAGCCTGGGCTCGAGCTCGACAAAATTGACACGAGCTCGAGCTCGAGTCTAAAAAGAAGGAACTCGACGAGCTCGAACTCGACAAAATAGACTCGAGCTCGAGCTCGAGCCTTCAAAAAGAGGCGAGCTCGGCTCGTTAACACCGCTAGTTTGTATCCAAATTACTTCTACTACGATGAAAATAGGCTTAATTCCACTTTGCACCCTTGAAATATACCATTTTGGCACTTTGCACCCTCGAAACAAATTAATAGCACTTTGCACCCTCGAAATACAATAAATCAGGCATAATGCACCCCAAATGAATTTTTAAAGCTAAAAAATGTAATTTTATATTTTTAGTGATATTTTTTTTAGGATGTCAAATGTCAAATATTTTTTTTATTCATCAATCATTTTGAAACTATAAAGTTCAAAAATAAAAATAAATTTTATCTATATATTAATTTTTTATTTATTTATCAAATATCAAATATTTTACGGAAAAAAATCATTCAACTATTCCGTTTTCAAGTAATCTGAAAATCATATTTTCTTCCAAGTATTTTCACCTAATATTTTCAAACAGTTACATAAAAGCTCCATCAATCGAATAATTTAGTGATAAAAACTTCTTTTTTATTTTTTATTTTGTAAGAAAATGTAGGTGTTTTAAATAATCCGGTGAAATCAGACGATCCGCCGGTGAAAAAGAAAAAAAGTTGTCAATCTTAAAGTTAACTAATGTTAAGTCAGCTAACCTAAGCTCCGATGACCCACCACCAGAAAAAAAAAAAACAAGAAAACAAATTAATAAAAAAATGGAATGCCAAAAGTCAACTAATGTTGAAGTTAACTAATGCTGAGTTAGCTAATCGGAGTTCTGACAACTCGCCGCCTTTTTTTTTTTAAATAAAAGAAAACTAAAAAAATATGATTGTGTCAGACCGGACCGGGTCGGACCAGCCTGGTGGGCGGGTGGAATGGAATGGGGTGGGTTGAACTTATCATAAATAGAAATATATAGGGTTATTTTGAGAATTCATATTTTGTGGGTTTATTTTAAACTTAAAGGGTGGGTTGATTTGTGTTAGAACTTCCATAAGCCTAGTTCAAATTCACCTTATATTTAATAAGTTCATCCAATTTCTATTATTTAGTCTATCCAAAATCTAAATTATTGCAAAAACAAGTCTTAAGTTTCTCTTTTTCTGTCCTCTGATTTTTGTCCAAATAAAAAAAGGGAAGTCCTAAACTTTTTTTGTCTGGTCACATTTTCCTAGGTTTAATTTTTAGAACAAGCATTGTTCTTTACATTATTTTTAATA